CACTTTCTCTCTCCCTTTCTGTCCTTTTCTCCCAGGGCTAATAGACTGAACAACAAAAGCCCAGCAATTGCCCTAATAGCCCTAATAAGACTCTTGGAAAGACAGTGTTGCTCTGCCACAGACACGTCTTTTTTTTTTTGTCTTTTCCGAAACAAAGCAGCGGTGCTGTGTGGGAAGGCACAGAAGCCTCTTTTGCTAAGAGCGTGCTTGTGTTTGAGTCGAGGACCTGAGGGTCTCGGAGCTCCCCCAGAAGAATGGACCATTCAGCCCGTCGGAGCTTGCCATGCTCCCGTCTGCTGAGGGACTCTCAGTGCTGTAGTGATGTAGCAGCTTGTTTTCTGCTGTTCCAACGAGAAGGGACTATTTTCTCTGGAGTCCCTTGCATTCATCTTGCTGAACGTGTGGAATGGAGGCTCAAAGAGAAGAGCAGCCTCTGAGTCATTTCCAAAATCAAGACAGTCATAATGTAATTGACAGTCTTCCCCCTTCCCAGTCCTCTCTTGCAGGATTTTAAACACAGACATTCCTGGACAGCCATACTGTCCAGTGAAGCTCCTTTCTTCCCTTTGACATGCATGTCTCTTCACGATTAAGCTTCGCTTGGACAGAAAAATGTATTTAAAGCTTGTAAATGGATTATGTGGGGGTGGGGGCTGAGCAGCCCCCCCCCAGGCTGCGGGCTGCGTTGTGTAATCGAAGCGTGTTTCGGACAGGCTGGGGTTGTTCGTCTCCATGCCCGCTCTGTTATTACCCCAACTCTGTCATTATGGGATTAGGAGCACAGGCATGATGGGACGGACTGTGGCAGTGAGTGTGTGCGTGTCTGGGTGTGTCTCTGCCTGTGTGTGCCACCATGTGTGTGTGACACTGAGAGAGAGAAGGAAGGGAAGGGAGAGTGAGAAAGGGTCAGAAAGAAACAGAAAAGGGAGATGCTGAAAGAGAACGAGGTGCACTGAGACAAGGGAAATTAGAGGGAGGGATATAGAGAGAGAGAGGCAGAAATTAAGAGGGAGAGTGAGGGAGGGAAAATCATAGGATGATTAGCCAAAGCTGTAGCCACAAGCAAAAAGCTTATTTGTGACAGCCTCTGAATGTAAACTGTTGTAATTGCGGTGCTAAAAGTGTGCAGAGGGTAAGTCGGGTATTGTGTTTGAGCTCCCAGCCTCTGTAGGAGTGCTGCTAGAAAGAACTGTTTTCTTTTCTTATCACTATTTCATACCCGTCATTCAGGTTTAGCCACATTGAGAAACAATGCTGTTATTTTTGTTTTGCTCCCAAATGCTTTAATTTAGCTCTCAAATGCACCAGAAAAAGAGAATACAGCTCCCACTTTGCAAGCTATTGTACTAACTAACCTTTCATTTCTGCCACCACCTCTTCACTGGGCCTATTATGGGCGGGGAGATTGAGGGGTCCTGGGTATGGGGAGGGGACAGTGTTACCCTTCTCTGCCCCTCTCTCATTCAGGCAGGACTGCTTTCTCATCTAAAACATGGGCAGTGTATACAAAGAGTGGCTTTGGCCTTTTTAATGCCACTGCAGATAATGCACAGCCACCACAGGCTGGTTTTCACTCCTGAACCTTCTCCCCGATCCACTGAGTCAGAGCTTTCTGTCTGAGCTGTGTTTGGTCAACAAGTGTATGTTTGTGTGTGCTTGATTTAGCAGGTGGGTGTGTGAAGTATTGGTCCTCAGCTGTGGAGAGTCCAGCAGTTGTAAGTCCCTTGTTCTGGCTGATTCCTGCAAGAACAGGATTCCTTTTATTTCCACATTCCTATCTGTAGTCATTTCACCTGAACCACTTAAAAAAAAAAGTAAAAAAAAATCTCAGAACAAAGACCTGAATCACAGTGAGGGAAGTGGAGCGGAGAGGCAGTTTCAGCAGAGCTTTGAAGTGGAGTTTAATTAACAGAGCAGCTGAGCACAGGAGCAGCCAGACAGGGAGAGAGCATCCTGACCATTAGAGATTCTCCTCACTCACTGTGTTGCTGCCACTGCTCGCTGTGTTGCATTGCTTGCAGTGTTTAGCGGCTCACTGTATTACTGACATTGGCCGCTCCATTATTAACACTGCATTACACTGCCTACTGCATTACTAACAGTTCACTATGTATTGCTGATATAGCTGACTGTATTGCTGACACAGCACTGTATTACTGTCTGAACTGAACTGTACCCAGCACAACCTCACACTAGTATTAATACAAATTGAGAGAGTGGGAAGGGAAAAGAAAGAGAGGGATGGAGACAAGGGGCAGAAAAGAAGAGCACACAGATTGAATCTATACAGGTCTGCACCACTGGCTTAGCTGCTCTATTGTCACCGCGATCCTATTTGGGTGGTTGGGGTGTGGAGGTATGCTCAGTGGCACACACACTTGCAGCCGTGCCCCAGACAGTAATAACGCTTCTAATTAAATCTCTTAACGGGCAATTTAATAAGTCTTTTAGAGCATGAGGGTTGTCCCCTCAGAGATCACCCACAGCGTCTGTCTGCCCTTTTCTTTTCAGACCTTTTCCTTATCTGTCCTCTTCAGTTTCCAGTCAGCAGCATGACCAGGGGCAGAGTGAGGCCTGTAATCTGCACCGACCCTAGAAAATGAGCACCTGCTCAAGTAGTTTTTATTTTCATAGGGAGCCAAAGGGACAAAAGAGAAAACAAAGGCAGTTTGCACAAAACAGAGCACTCTTGGACACAGCGGTATTCGTAATAGCATGGGCTTGTGCTTTATGTAGGGCCTGATGCAGACTGTCACTCAGAAGGCTGATGTTTATACTACAGGACACAAATGTTGTTCTTGTAGATGGAAAATAAGTTATCAAACTGAACTTGGCAAGATGGTGGCAGTGAGAGCTGGGGAGCTTTCCTGTAGCACACGATGGATTGCTTTTACTGTATCATTACAGTCTTGAGAAAAGCATTATCATTGATGTTAATACAGATTTATGCTTTACATTTAGCTTTAATGTAGGAGTTCATTTCCACCTTTGCCTTAAAGAAAAGCTTTACAACTGAAGCTCTTTCGCAACATTTCAAAAAGCTGTTATTATCCAAACTGTAACCACAACTGTGCAAGCTGGCCTCCCGAGAACAATAATAATTTAAAAAAGTTCTAAATAATCTCATTACTATGCTACTAGTTCCTGTGATTCTAGGAAACATACAGAATGAGCATGATTTTCTTCATTATTCACAGTAAAATCTGAACACAAATTTAACCCTAACAGTTGCCATAACCATTTCACCATCACCCAGCCTATAATGGCCCATGGGTGTTTTTAAGTGCACAACACATCATGTGATACACCCCAGATTGCTCCTCAGGGTGCTGCTTCCTTTCAAAGAAGCTTCTCAATTCCATGCCTTGACACTGCGCTTTGCATTATGTCAAAGGAGTGGGACAAATTAGCCCAGGCAGTAAGGATGGCATGGCTCCACTCCCAAAACATGGCACTGGAGCCTAAGGCCAAATTTATATTAAAGGTTAGCAAATCGCAGTCTAGAAAAAGTGGTTTAAAAGGTTACTGAAGAATAACATAAGGAGGAAGCAACTACTCTGTAGATAATACAAGAACTCAGGACAAGACAAGGTAGACACCAAGCAAATGCAATTTGACATGGATAAGTATAAGGTATTACATGTGGAAAGCAAGAATTTTTAAATGTTCAAATATCGAAAAGAGTGGTATTGAAATAGAAGAAGCAATATACGAGAAAGACCTAGGAGATTTACGTTGACTCATCACTTTCTGCAACTACACAGTGCGCGGAAGCAATAAAAAACAACAACAAAATGCTTGGATATATCGGCAAGCATGCATAATTTAAATAAAGGGAAGTCAATTCTCCAGTTAAATCTCATTTAGAATATTATGTGTAGTATACAGCTATAGGAAATGCTGCAGCTCTGGAGGCAGCTCTAGTTTCTGGTCTGTAGGGAGTGTCTCACTCAAGATAGACTAGAAATGGAAATTAGAAGGAAAAAGATAGAAGGAAATGAATCTTGTTAGCCTAGAACAGAGAAAAAAAGATGTGCGAACTAATTCAGGTATAGAACTTACTGAGAGGCATTGTCCTAGACAGCTCAGGACACATTCTGCAGCAATACAAGGACCTGGGGACCCAAATGGAAATTCTGGTGAGAAACAAAACAGCAGATGGACAATAGGAGACATGTCTCATATAAAAGGTTTTGAAAGTCTGGAATGAGCTCTCATGTCATGTGCCTGAAGTAGATGCCAAGTAAGCCTTTAAAGAAAGGAGTTAATAAATTCTTAGATCATTAAATAACTGGAAACCATACTTGTGAAATAGGCCAAATGGCCACCTCTCATTTGAATCACCTAACGTCCTGTTCTGTTCTCAGACGTTTTTGGTGTTTTCCCGATGCTTCCCAGAAAAGGCAACTCGCTTGCTTGTATCCTCTGAGTGTTGAAATGCCCTTAGACTCAGCACAATTTAATAATCCAGCATTCTGCAATGATTATGGCTTTCCCAGTGAGTCAAATAGAGGAAACCCTGTTTATGTGCTGAATGGCCATACTGGGAAACATGGGGGTGGGGTGGGGTGGGAGAGTTGTTGAAGCAGAATCTTAATGTGACTCTGGTTTCATTAAGCGATTGACAGCCCTGATGAGTGTGACGGGCTGAATGGTCTCCTCTCAGAATAAGCTCAGAACTCAAGGGCATCAATTTTGACTTGCTAAGAGCAGCTTCAGCACAGATATTGGAAACCATTTTTATTTTATTTTTAACACTGAGTGTTACAAATGCATGGAATAAATTGCACAGCTATGGTGTGGGAGCTGATATGCTGGGGTTTTTGCACATTTTAGCTTGACGCTGAGATCGAATCACTCGATGCTGAGTAAAACTGAGGGGTGTGGACGCTGTGCATTGCTCGGAAATTCTGTTTGTGCCACTATGTACTCTCATCTACATCTCATCCTCTTTCTGTGCTCCTTCCACTGAGTGTTGTGTCTCTCTGGTTCTTTTTCAGAAACACTAATGGACACCAAGTGGGCGACATCAGAGCTGGCCTGGACTGCACATCCAGAGACTGGAGTAAGTGAGTGTGAAAGGGAGACTGAGGTGAATGTGAGCTGGAGACTAGAATGAATGAGGTAGAGTGAGATTGGGTTGATTGAGAGTGTGAGAGTGAGAAGAGAAATGGCCCAAGAGACCAGCATGACTCTCCTCTTCCTTATTCTGTTATAGCTGGTGAAGGACAAATACATTAAAGAATAATAAACTGAAATGAAAAAAAAATTGTCATTCAGCTCGTGTCTAGCTCTTCCGATGAAATGAGCAATTTGTAAACAGGGTTGCATTTGTAGTCTTTATGCGATTTTTACAAATGCTAGGCAAAAAAAACAAATGGTTGAGAGCCCAGCCCTTCTTTGTGCAACAATGTAAAAGTTTGCTCGATGTCAATCCAAAAACTGACACCACATTCCCACATTTTAAACTTGTTAGCCTAGAACATTTTCTGAACATAAATCTAAATTCTGAACATAAAGACAAAACAACTATGTGCATGAACAGCCACGTGTACACACATTCTCCTACTGCCCTCTGTTCAGAAATCACGAGAGCACTCGGCCTACGACATTCTCCCTTGATAAGTCAACTCTATTCAAAGACATTCAGGGTGTCAGATAAAGAGCAGTTCTCTGCATCAATCACACTTCACCCCCCACACACACACATAGTGTGTCCTCCTCAGAAGCCCCACATCCAAGTACCCCCTCCAGTCCTGGGCTTGTGTCTCACCCTTGGGACGTGCCTCCTCCTCAGCCTGACTGTGGGTGCTGTCCCCCACAGCAAGATTATCCTCAAACCCTACCCCCCCTGCCCCCCCACTTCCCCACCCATCCTCCATAGCCTCCCCCAGCTGTTCACAAGCCCTCTTTACTTCTGAGCAATTTAGCGCCAGTCCTGAAGTTGACAGGTCTGACCCCAGTCCCAGCCCACCAGGGCATTTGTGCAGCCACACTTCTCCCTCTCTCTCCTTATTCTCCCTCCCTCTGTTGTTCCTCCCATCGTTAAACACCAAGCGAGCCACCAGTTCAGGCCATGACATTAAAAAACCCTGATTCCTCAGCAGATGCTCTCATTCAGGTCCCTGTCCCTCTGTGTTAATCCTTCATTACTGTAGATGCAGGGGGCTTTGTCCTTTTCAACAGAAGCATGCAGGGCTGGATTTATGAATGGGGGGGAGAAAACACCGTGCAGCTAAGGTTATTTATTGGCTTGAAGTGGAATCTGGGAATCTCTTCAAATTTTTTGGTTTTGATTTTTGCTTTGTTTGCTGTTCTGTTGAAAATATCAGCAGCCCCCCCCCCGCCTCTCCCTGTCTCGTTGTCCTAATTGGCACGCCTCCTCCTGTTTCTGTTTTTCTGGGTTTTTTGGCTGCTGTACACTCCAGCTCACTGGTTTAGGCAGTATTTTGAGAGAATGACAATTTGTGAGGGAAGTAAAAAGGATCAACACGCTTGAAATAATAATAATTAAAAATGGGAACTTGTCCCGGAATCTGTCGTTCCCAGATATTCTTGCCCTTTCCCTCATTCATCTCTTTTTTGTGATAAAATGTTCTGAGATTATTGAGCCTCAGAAACCACCATTCCTTTTGTTCTGCTGGATGGGATTCACAGGGCACTGCTGCTGTTAACATAAGCTGCTTTGACATAAAGAAAATACAGCTGCGATACAACACCAAACACCAAACAGAGCAGTCACAAACACATCCACAGCTGATGTAGCTTGGGTCAGCTCGTGTGTTAAGAGGGGGCGAGTGTGGAATATAACCCAAGTATGGAATCACTGAAGAAAAAGATATTTAAAGCAGGAAATTAAAATGAAAATCAAGGTCTGATTTCAAGATGAAAAATAGGGTTGACCTCAGCCCTGCCTCTGGGCACTCTGGAACCCTTTCACCTTTCACCAGTTATGAATATCAAGTCTGAGTGGAAACTCAGAGTGCAAAATTAGCTGTCCTGAAGGCTTTAAGACAGATAACTGAGCATTTGAAGTGGATGCAAAGACTAAGCATAGCTGGTTATTGACAGCTCTTAGCTGCTGCTTCCCTCATGCTTACCTACCTGCTCTGAGACTATTGATCTGCATTCCCTATCCCTTATTGGTTCCAATATTAAAATGGCTTCATAGCAAAGGCTCAAATTAAGAATTGGCATGTGCTCTCCACAGAGGGATGGTGGCATAAATAAGCCTGGCTCATTCGTGCCTGCATTTCTTTGTTAATTGAAACCCCTGGCAATTGAAACCAATGGCCTACTTTAACAAGCCCTGGTAGTTACATAGTGTATCGAACCTGAAACAGCAACTTACAGCTGTTAGATCAGCTGGAGTCTTTAGAACAATCAAACTGACGATCCACATTATGGAAAGTGATCTAGTAGGAACAGCCTGCTGAGTTACTGGGATCAATAAGCTACCAGTCACCTGAACCTGGGTGACATTTCTTCAGTTATTTTGGTTGATGTCTTTAGCCAAGGCAGGGTTCAGTTAATAAAACTTGTCATTTATATATATATATTGGGTTATTACAAGCTCATAAATAGCTATAGCACAGTTGTATAATGTAGTGTTAAGTAAAGAGGCAGAAAAAAATTGGGTGATAAATCTAGTACAGCAAAGAGAAATAGCTGTGCAAGTTATAAGGTGAGTAGCATGTCAACAAGATGCAGGGTTAGTGGAGAGAATTATTGAACGGTGAGCCTGCAGTATGGGAACAAGCTCAGGAAAACATGCTATGGTCTGATATAGCAGGCGGTGCAATCTCGACAGGTGAGAGGAGAAGAAGGATGCTGGTCTGTGGGGTCCAGTGATGATGTCCATTGTGAGTTGAAATTAGAGCATGGCAACAAGAGGGGAGAGGATGAGATGGGATATAGGGAGATGTGGGGGCTGTAGTTATGGAGAAAGGCTGGTTAAGCAGGAATTCTTGAACTGGATGCACAAATCGATGGACAGCCAGGATGAAGCAGCAGAGAACCCAGGAAGAGACAAAATGCTAAAAGAGGTTTTCTTATGTCTGCAAAGTACTTGGGGTTTCCAGTAGTGATGTAAAATGACAAATAATGCTCAGCTGAGATCAGGAGAGAGATTGATATCTACAAAGAGAGACAAGCAGTCCTAGACAAAGGAATGATCACTATTCTCATGGCACTGTCTGACAGGCAATCTTCTTACTGTAGGAAAATGGTGGAAGACAAAGAATAATCATAATGGAATGTGCTTCTTGACAAAGTACCAATGCTGTGCACATTTTTATTTTATTTTGCTTCAGTAATAATTTTTTAAGCAGTTTAATGCATTGTATTAATTGTCGCCAATAACAGGCTAAACATGCATCGAGATTATTGTTCTGCTTGCTGGAGAGAACGATACAGTCACAGTGTAATAATGTCAGTAATTGAAATGTAATTGCTTGTGAAGCGATGCATCTCTTGTTGAAGCAGAATGGGGTAAACATCCACTCATAATTCACAGTGACTGATACTGCTGACACTTTATGATAATTGTGATAAATTGGCTATTTTAGTTTGATTCATCATCATTTTAAACAGAAATGATAGGCTGGATTACATGGAATAACACTTGACTTAATGACACTGAATGGAGCGTTATTGATTATACAGGAGTAAATGGGGTCTAATTTATTAATTTATTTTTAGCTTTAGTGTATTTCTGTTCTTTCTCTCTGCCTATTGCATCACTCTGTTTATAGTGTGAGTGCATGTGAGTCTGTCTATGTGTGCATGTGCTTTCATGTCTCTGTTTATGTGCTTTTGCATGTAAGTCTGTGTGAATGTGAACCTACACATGTGTTTTGGTTTCCTGTTCAGTACAGAATACAGTCAGACCACTTCCTCTCTCTGTTTCAACCCTGGGCACAGGTAGAGCAGGTGAAGCATGAAAGGCATAGCAAAAGGTCAAAATAGTCTTTGGTCCAGTGCTATTGACACCTGTCTCGTGACAGCTATAGGCTTTAAAGAGCCTTTAAATTGAAAATCCTCTGAAGGGCCAAGGACTGCTAATTGAGTTTATTTAAGTCAATAATTCATTCCAGGTGAAGTGAAATCTAGAACACCTTCCAAAACCAAGGGCAAGAGATCACTGGTTTCATCTGTACCAGCCCTAGACTGCTGTACTGGGAAACAAAGTTGCACATGTAAAAAGTCTCACTTTCTCAAATGGCACTGGCACTTGTGGCAATCACAAAAAGTCTGTCTAATAAATGTACCTTGAAGTCCTTCCAAATGGATTGCTGTTGATCAGTGTAATTTAGGTCAGGTGTAAAAGTGTATTATGTTAAGAGATCACTTCATATTTGATTCCATTTGGTTCCTAAATTGGTCACAGGTGCCACAGGTCCTGTAAAAAAGAGTAAAAAGGCCCTATCACGTCAGACTGCAACATAACCCACTTGATTTCAGTGTATGACCTGCTCAGACAGAATTACAAAGGACTCATTTTTGTCTGTCTCTTTTGCCTGATTGTGTCTGTGCACAGTGGGAAGAGGTGAGCGGCTATGATGAGGCCATGAACCCAATACGGACCTACCAGGTGTGCAACGTGCGCGAGCTGAACCAGAACAACTGGCTGCGCAGTGACTACATTCTGCGCAAGGACGTGCTGCGCGTCTACGTAGAGATGAAGTTCACCGTCCGTGACTGTAACAGCATCCCCAACATTCCGGGCTCCTGCAAGGAGACCTTCAACCTCTTCTACTACGAGTCTGACACGGACTCTGCCACTGCCAACAGTCCCTTTTGGATGGAGAATCCCTACATCAAAGTGGACACCATCGCACCGGACGAGAGTTTTTCCAAGCTGGAGTCGGGGCGTGTCAACACCAAGGTGCGCAGTTTCGGGCCCCTGTCACGGAATGGATTTTACCTAGCCTTCCAAGACCTGGGCGCCTGCATGTCACTAATCTCTGTGCGCGTCTTCTACAAGAAGTGCTCCATGACTATTGCCAACTTCGCCGTGTTTCCTGAAACGGCCACGGGCGCTGAGGCCACCTCACTGGTCATTGCTCCAGGGACCTGCGTGCCCAATGCGCTGGAGGTGTCCGTCCCCCTGAAGTTGTACTGCAATGGTGATGGGGAATGGATGGTTCCAGTGGGATCCTGCACCTGTGCAGCTGGTTTTGAGCCTGCCATGAAGGACACACAGTGCCAGGGTGAGTGCCTGCTAGATGCTACTCTTGACAGGGGTTGCCTTACTGAGGTGGCAGGGTCGGTGTCTAGCTAGCATCCGGCAAGCTAGGCCACCATTTAGCTAGCATTTGTGGTTCACCATGGTCAAACCTGAACTGTTTTTCCAAAACCCAACTTTGAAGGTTAAATCTAAGACTATGGATATTTGGTCCTGGCAATTATTTTCTTGCAAATATCTTAACTGAAGTGATGAAAAACATGGGAGCTTCTGGGTGCATGTCTCTAAGGTTATTTCCTCAATATTTGGACTTGGAGGAGCCTGGTTGTGGAGGAAAAGGGCATTTGACAAGAAAGTATTATTATTCCCAATATGTTTGCTATTGCATTCACATATATGGCAGCAAGAAATATACATTTTTTATTAATTATCAAGGAAAGCAAAGAAGTGTCATTTAGAATTCTCTTCCCCTCTCACCTGTATATACATCTATACAGGTTGTGTCTGCTTGATGGTGTAACATATGCAAAGCTTAACAGGAGTTATGATATATATTTTATAAGCATGAGCAATTCATTCAAAGCCTCAACGAGTATTTTCTGGTTTTATAAAAACTCTGAGTGAGAGGATATCGATTTAATTGTTCAGCAACGTCTAATTCACACCGTTCAGTTCTTGCACACAACAGCTCAAGGTGAAGTATACCAGGAGAAGCCAGTATGAAGTATTATAGTAGTTAATCCATCACATTTACCAATCTACCAATCACATCCAATTGACTCATTGTCAGCTATTCCTTGTCATTAACATTATTTGTTCCACTCCCTACATCCAGAAAGCGAAAGGGTCACTTTTGGACCACAGAAAAGGTAGAGAGATTTATTTAAAGATTTATTGTCATCTTTAAATAAAATGGTTCAAATTTCAGTGGACAATTGCAATGGAATTGTGTTTTGCATAGCGAAGGAAAAAGAAACATAAAAAATCAAAAGCGCAAGATTTAGCTCAGCATTTTTAATAAGAGAAACTGCATGTATTACTAATTCAGAGTATTAATCTGTCAAAATCACCCAAATGTAATATATTAGCATCTCTTGGAAAGTCTTTATTAAAGGAAAACTTAATGACCGGTATTCTTATTCTGACATTATTCTGTCATTGTGCTGGATGTGGGGCTTGTTGGAAAATCTGGCATACATTAGTCTTTCTTTTTTGTTTTGTTTTTCCATGGTGGAAGTCCTGTCAGAGCTTGGTGAGGTCAAAGCTCAGTAAAGTGTAGGATCAGGTGAAGGCAGGCTCAGTAACTGTAGGTGATCAGAAATAATCTGAGGGGCTCTTTCATGGTCTCACTCTTTTTCTAAGGCTCTTGTTTCCAAACTCTTCCTGCCTGAAACCCCCTCTCCTCTCTGTGATCCTGAACTTGTCCCTGCCCATCATGTATGCAACTGATGAGGATCAGAATCCTTCCCCTCGCCCTTCTTTCATGGAGACACGAGTGTGATGTGCAAAGGAGAGGGGCGGTGTCGCATTGGGTTGTAAATCCCATCCCTTTGCGTTTAAAAACTCATTTGTTTGCTCTCAACAGCTCAAGGTTAAAACCCTGGTGACTGTGCCTGATAAAAAACAGCCCTCTAATCAAGGGGCCGGAAGCGGCGAGGGATAAATCTTCCTACCGTGGCTCTCCTGCGCCTCAAACTGCGCTAATCCGAAGGCCGTTTCGCTCATTAATACCCAGTCAGAGCAAAGAGGACACCCGCATGAATATTAATCAGTACAGGGCCCACCCCCCCCTTCCATTCCCATTTTTTCAAACTTTCAGTTCCAGCTAAAATTTTAATCAGTTTTTTAAGCTGCTGTTGCCTTCGCTGCATGAGAGGATGGAGTAAAGAGAGAGAGAGAGAGAGCTGGACTGCGCTTGTCAAACGCCTGCAGGATTTGCATTTTTCCCTTTTTATTTTACCTCCCTCTCAATCAGTTGAAAGGGGAATAGATTCAAAAAGGCTGACTATAAATGCCTGGAAACCAGTGATCAGCACTTTCCCTCCTTCAGAAGTGCTCTCTCTTTCTAAATGGGAATACCCCCCCCCCCATGCCTTCCTCTTCCTCTTCCTTGTGGCTAGCCGGTGTGAAAGACCACGATGTCCTTGCTCTACCCACAACAGGGCTGCATTGCACCTGTGCTCTCTTCCCGGCTTTATCTGACCTGTTCTTCTGGATATAGATCACTCCTGTGTTACAGTTACAGTCACCAAACTACAGACAACACAATGCAAACTCTGCACAGTAAAGGGGGACACAGGACTGTGGTGGACATCTCCTTAGGTGCAGATACAGCCTGACTGCCTGCTGAAAGACCTGCATATCAAACTCCCCAGTAGCTGTGTTCTTGATCGAGGATCTTTAGACATGCAGTATATTCTTCAGATCACCCAGCTCTAACCAGTTCTGTCTTTCTCCCCAGCCTGTGGTCCTGGAACCTTTAAGTCCCGCCAGGGAGAGGGACTCTGTTCTCCCTGTCCCCCCAACAGCCGTACCAGCTCCGGCGCCTCCACCGTGTGCTCCTGCCGCAATGGCTACTACCGTGCAGACAGCGACACGCCTGATGCAGCCTGCAGCAGTGAGTACCGACCACTGAGGCCGGGACCATGCTGGCAACCAACACACAGACACCCACAGGGACGGGCACACTGACGCGCACAAAGACATAGACTGATTAACAGACAAGCACAGACACAGGCCAATGTACCGACAAGTAAAAGCACACAAAGATTGCTTGACAAACCGAGGAGTACACAGCCACAGCCAACACATTGACATATACAGATAATTAAACACTAACATATACACAGATATATGCACTAACTCACACATGCATTAAGATCTATACACACATGAAATTCAATGGGAACGTTCCCACCCTCGGACACACACTCTCCAAAATACGCCCCTCCATCTCTCATACAGACACTCCCTGTCTCACAAATTCCCTGTGCTGTAGACACGAGTGTTGGCTGTACAGACCCCTGGCAGCACAGGCCTCTTTTTAACAGAGTGTGGGTGGGGGAGAGAGGTGGGGGGAGTTGTCTGAAAGCTGATTGAAAAAAACTCAACCTCAAGGACGACGACGACACATCAGCTTCCTGGCTCTTTTCAGAGTTTTCCATCTCCCTGTCTGGAAAGGCACACTGCGCTTGTGTGTTTGGCACCATCAGTTCTCACTTAGCTCCACAATTAGCACCACAGTTAAACTTTATCAGTCGGCTTCTCTGTATGAGATGCAGCTGAAGAAAATACCACAAGGCAGAACCTCGCTGTTGAAGCCAAGACGTTTATCTACTGGATGGACGAAACAGAGAAACCTGAATTCCAGCCTGCTGCTGATGGTTTGTCTGGGTTTGTTTGACTCTCCCACAGCACAGAGAGATAAGGCTTTAGTAATTGGATAAAGACAGCCACTGGGCTGCTGCTTGCACTGCCCAAAGTAATCTCTTCGCACTCCTGCAGGAAACAACGCAACTTAGACTCTTAATCCTGCTGTCCTCCCTGCTTGAGAAACTAATAAATCCTGTCCCGTCTATAACAACTATGTAATCATGAAATATGCATAATTTATATTGCAAACCCAGTGCCCATTTTAAATAAATCTTGGACGTCTTATTCTAAAGCCCATCTGCACTTGGTGAATGTGTTCCACAGTGGGAGAGGTAAATCCGGGGTATTAACCCCATCTCTCTGTCCCCCGGCCGTACAGTTTGGAGAACAGATGATCTGTTTTTCTGGGATGAGTTTTGGCAAGTGTCTTAACTCCATCTCCATTTCCCGGCCTCACTCCCTCTCTCAGGGCTGTTGTTTGGCATGTGTATTAACTTTCCCTCCCTTTCTCTTGCAGTCTCTGTTTCTCCACCGTCTCTCTCAAAGATATCGTTTGGCAAGAGCATGGATCTGATTCTCAAGATGTGCTTTGGCAAATGATAATGATTAACCCTCTCCCTCTCCTCCTCACCCACCCCAGCCGTACCTTCTGCCCCTCGCAATGTGATCTCCAACGTGAATGAGACTTCTCTAGTCCTGGAGTGGAGCGAGCCGCGGGACTCTGGTGGCCGCGACGACCTCTTCTACAACGTCATCTGCAAGAAGTGCCAGGCGGACCGGGGCATGTGCTCCCGCTGCGACGACAACGTGGACATCTCGCCGCGCCACCTAGGGCTGATGGAGCGCCGGGTCGCCGTGCGCAACCTGCAGGCCCACACACAGTACAGCTTCGAGATCCAGGCTGTCAATGGCGTCTCCAGCAAAAGTCCCTACTCCCCGCAGTATGCCATCGTCAACATCACCACCAACCAGGCTGGTAAGGCAGCACCCTCATCTTTTTCCTTGAGGTTCAGACTGAAACTGCTTCTGTCGTTAAATGTGGCATCATTTTATTCCTTCACGCATTGTAGAAAATACTGTCCTCCCAGGTTCCCCAAGTGGCAAAGGGCTTTTTTGTATATCTGAGTGTGTTTCTGTGCGAGTATGCGTGTGTGTTTATGTGTGCGTGGAGGACCCTCTCCCATCCAATGGTACTGACAGTAGGGAGATTATCCCACTCCATCTCTCTGTTTCCTAGGCTTTCTGTTTCAACACAAAGGGATTTCGAGCCCCTGTTTGCTCTTGGGGCAATGGACCCAGTATCTGCGATCCTTGTGTTTGGGTCACTGCGGGGGTGAGAAAGCCCCCCACATACACATGCTAAGACATGGGGACCACGGCTGTTCCATCATCAGATTATCTGGCTCTTTCTCCCAGGGTGTCCTGCATATTCATTTACCTTTTAAGAAAAAAAATAAATAAGGGTATAAGCCTCAGGTAGTCATGGTTACCCAGTGTCTCAGCATGGGGAGGCCCCCTAATCCTGGGGCTCAAGTTACTGGGGAATCTGCCCAGGGAGCATTGTCCTTGAGGTAGGGGGTGGCTATTATAAAACCAGAGGTGGGGAGGCCTCGGGAGTAAAAAACGGGGGATGGGGAGAAGATGGAGATCAAGAAAGACAAGAAGAAGGATCAAAGAACCGGACTTATGGCTTGAAAATCCCTTAACAAAACAGGGGAGGGAGAATGCAGGAGGAGCAGGAAAAGGAGAGGGGGAGGACAGAGAAGGGGAGATGACAAACAGATTGAAAAGTAAGAAAATGAAATGAAAAGAGGAAAGCTAGAGGAGAAGAGCAGTTTGGAAGACTAAATAGTCACAGACGTGGAAGGATGATGGAAGCTGATATGAGATGAGAACAGAAAAGGGGCAACCATGAGTGGGAGAGAGATAGACAAACTTGTACTAATAGGTGACAGGGAGATGGAGAGAGTGACAGAATGGGAGAGAGGGGGTGACAAAGACAAGATGGGAAATGAAGAAATGGAGCAACAGACAGGTGAAGAGATGGTAGAGATGGCTACCAATGGGAGGCAGCCTGTGAAACTGCTCCAGAGTGAAGGAGAAGGAGAGAGAGCAGAAGAGCCTGAGGCAGTGCGTATGGTGCAGGGTGCAGTGTGTGATCAGACAGCTGAAACTCCTGTCACAGCACAATTAGGACCTATTGTCTGAGGAGGCATCATGGCACACAGCTGCTGAGACAGCTGGACAGGCCGCAGTGTGACATAAGTATAGTCAGGTACCTTTCCCTACTCAAACTTTTAATTTTATATCATAGCTTAAACATTGAATAAAATATATTTCAATTTCAAATGTATGATTCAACAGTATAACAGTATAAAAGAAATAAGTCTTACATAACAGGCAACCAAACTGGAAAACTACACAACTCTAAATGATATTTATACTTTGCATAGTGTTGTCTTATTCTTATTAAGTGTAATACATGTTGTTTGAAAATTACACTCATCTTGTGCTGTGAGATTTCTTCATGGTTCAGCAATTTGTCCAAGGAAGTGCTAATTAAGATTTCTAGCGAAGGAACATATTGAACTCTCAGCTTGTAGATGTGTATAGTATTTCTGCAGCTCCATAAAAACACATTCCACGGGTATTTTTGAAGCAGGTGTCCATATTTATAGAGACTTACTACGACAACATAAAATATACTTTTAAAGTACACTACATATACTCTATACTACTAATTGAAATACTAAAAAATGTAAGCTTATGAATTAACCTGGAAGAGACTAGTCTGAGTTTAACAGGGTACCAAGAAATCAAACTATAACTATATAAGTTGAGTCCAAAAACAGAACTGGGATGGATGGTTGAGACAGTATAAAAACAAGCGAGCTGGGGGACTGCTTCATGGTTTTCACAATATATCACAAATTTCCTGCTTCCCCCACTACAGCCCCATCTGCTGTGCCTACGGTTCACCTGATGGGGGCGACGGCGAGCACCATGAGCCTGTCCTGGCTGCCCCCTGAGAGACCCAACGGCATCATCCTGGACTACGAGATCAAATACCATGAGAAGGTGAGGGGTGTTTGCCAGTGAGCCTGTGTACCCCAGCAGATCCAAACACACAGAAGGAAGCATCCTTGCCACATAAAAGTAAATTTCAACAGTGAAGATGTCAGCGTGTGTTGTCACATTTTGGGGATGCTATAAAAAGTCTTGCTGCATTCAGATGCCAAAACTCTGAAGCTCAGAAATCCCCTGCCACCCTCGCAATTTTTTTTACATCTTACTAGTTATATATGGGTTTATACTGGCATACATTGTTTTTTGTTGTTATATATGAATTCATAACCAAAAATATGGAAAACATACAAGTGAACATATTACTCTTTTTTGCCCTTTTCTTTATCATCTCCCCCTCAACACTCTCAGGGCCAGGGCGGGGCGATCGCTCACACAATGACAGCTCAGCGCAGCAGCGCGCGGGTCGAGGGGCTGAAGCCGGGGACCCCCTATGTGGTGCAGGTGCGAGCACGGACCGTGGCGGGGTACGGCCGCTACAGCAGCCCGGCGGATTTCAGCACCAACCTGCAGAGTACGTCCATGCCACCTGCTCAGACTTTCCCAGTTAGCTTGCTGCCTGCATGTCTCCATCTAATGCACTAGGAGACTTACTCGTTATATGGTAACTAATTTAGCAGATGGTTTTATCTGAAGTGACTTGCAGAGACTGGATGGCTCAACAGGGACCTCAGTGCAATGCAGTGACACAGTGAATCAGGGGCAGAGCCTGGACTTGACCTGGAAGTTTCTTCTCACAGGACCTGTATCTTAACCACTACAACTAGCCTTCATTTTACTTTACACTCCAGTTTACTCTTTCAGAATGAACTGTGGTCAGGACTTATAGGTGCACTCTCTTCATTCTGCTACTTAACCTGTTTGCTGGAGAGTCTGCCACAATTTACTCTGTCACTCACCCTAACACCCAAGTCACAGTAATCCACTGAGAGGTCTGCCGTTACCCTTAGGGCAGGAAAAGACAAGCCAAGAAATTAAATCAATAAAGAAATGAATACCCCTAGAGACGCTTTTTAAGTGGACAGATTGGCAGCCTGCCTTATGGGCAGAGTGTGAATCTGCATGCTTTATATAACTTGCATAACTGCAGTCTGCATTTATTGTGTTCACGAGTCTTGTGTTAACTGCTTTACTAATTCATTTATAAAAGAAGGAACAGTGTGTTTGGGAATGAAGCAGCCTCTGAGGGCACGCCCTGTTTACATTTGTGACACTGTCCCTGTCCCCCCCCCCCCC